TCGGCCCAGAGACGGCCTCGTTTAGTTCAAAGGAAGAATGAAAATTGCTTGGGGCTCCGTCCACATGCTGTCACGCAGGGTGTGTTGATGGGTGAGGTGGGCGGGTGGTAGGAAAAGGAAAGAATAAGCCAAGAAGAAGCACCAAGTGAAACTTAAAAGGCCCGCGTCACAGATCATCCGTCCGTGTGACTCAGAGGAAATGGTCTTTCTTGTGGGTGTTGAGGGCAAACTCTTGAAAGCACACGGGGGTTTGAGCAGCATCGAGTCGGAGAACCACAAGAAGACCTTGAGGGAGGGTTTTCAAAGCAGTCATGCTTTCCCCTCGCCCCCTCCCCCCAACCCGCCACAGCAAGGACACTCTTCCCGAAGCAGACAGCTCTGTCCCCATCACAGAAACTGTCAGAGAGGATTCCAGCACCCAGAGCTGCTCCCACGTTCCCCTCTGGAATGAGCTACAGCTGGCGATCAGACACTCACTGGGCCTCGGCATCCTGCCTGCACACGGGGACCGTGGTCCTCACCGGCGCTGTCGTTGGCAGGCCGGACGGGAGGATGCGTGTCTGACAAGGCACGTGCTCTGATGGAGAATGCAGTGAAATGGGCAAAGGCCATTACTGGCCTGGCAGAGGGCCACTGAGGGGCACTCTGGGGCACAGAGGCTCGGAGAGGACGGGCTCTGGGGGAGCACGCGTGTCCGGTGATATCTTAAAGCTAACGATAACGCAACGTAGGTAAGAAATGAAGTGCCCCCAGCGATTGTATTGACTTGTAAAGCCTGGGACACATTATTTCTTACCTACGTTGCATTATTGTTAGCTTTACAAGTCAATAAAAATAAGTCAGCAAAGGACACAGCCAACCTATAACAGAAAAATACATATGGCCAATAAACAAGAAAGATGTTCAGACTCACTACTCATTTAAAAGAAATATAAAGTGCCAAAACTGATTTGGCTCAGTGGATGAAGTGTCAGCCTGCAGACTGAAGGGTCCCAGGTTCAATTCCGGTCAAGGACATGTACCTTGGTTGCGGGCACATCCCTAGTGGGGGGGTGTGCAAGAGGCAGCTGATTGATATTTCTCTCTCATCGATGTTTCTAACTCTCTATCCCTCTTCCTTCCTCTCTGTGGAAAAATCAATGAAATATATTAAAATATATAAAGTTAAGTAAGTATGAGATTCTATTTTGAACCACAAAATTGGCAAGACCCTTTTTTAAAAATGTAAGAGGCAGTGCGGGCAGGTGCTGGAAAGCAGCGTGCTCAGTAACTGCTATTTGAAAAGACCTTTCAGGACAGATAAAGGCGCATCTCAAAAACCTCTCACGTGGCGACTCCTTTACTTAGGAAATAACCAGGCTGGCACCGGCAGAGGCAGAGGGGGAGTATGGACTCAGCTCACTACAACCCCCCCTCTCTCCCCACCCCCCCACCCCGAGGTCACAGTACACAGATCGGTGGCCCCACACTGAGATGGGGGACAGGGCGAGAGGGAGAAAGGTGACTTCCTCTGGGGAGAAGGGTAACGTATGAAATCGGAAACCAGGGCGGTCATTTCCCCAGGCAGTGATGGGCAGTGACCTCCCTCAGAGGGCACCGCAGCCGCCCAGAGGGGTCCAGGCAAGAGGGAAGGTGTTGCTCAGGTCCTCAGAGCAGCAGACACCAAGGAGAGACTCGATGTGCAGGAGATGCGTTGGGGAGCCTCTGGGAGGGGGAAGGAGGCAGAGATGGTGGCAGAGGGCCTTCGGCAGAGCCCCCCACTGCCCGGGGCTGTAGGACCTCTAGGCAGACGGACGGGAGACCCCACAGGAGTTGAGCTGCCGGAGGAGCACGGGGATGGGCAGGAATCACGGAGCTCAGTCCTGGTCCGAAGCGGTGACTGAGGGGAGAGAGCGCTGCAGGGGAGCAGGGCCTGAGGTCCCAGGCGCAGCAGCTGGCGGTTGTGTGAACCGTTCTCTGTAGCGGGCTCTCCGGGGTCAGTGTGGTGCACGCTCGTGGCTGTCAACGGAGATCTTCCAGGCTGTCTCCAGAGTCTGGCTGCCCCCCTCCCACGTCTCCCATGAGACCCTTCCACTGACCACGTTCACCGAACCTTCGTTTGCCGGGGCCGCTTTCAGTGACATGCAGTCCCGGGAGCGCCAACCATACCTACACAGAGATGTGTGTTTGACGGTGCCCTTCTCAAAGGTCCTGTTTACAAATCTTAACATGAACCATAGCCCACAGGTCAGGCTGTAGATCTTGAGAGGGGGCTGGGTTACACAGGAACACACGTGTGTTAAGATTTGTGTGGTTTTCAGACAAGGCCTGTGGGTGAGCAGTGAGGGACTACGGCTGAGCAAGGGCAGAGAGACTGACGAGGTACTCACTGCGGCTCAGGCGCCGTCCTGAAGCCGCTCATGTGTCAGAGGCTGAGGGTGCCACTGGCCAGAGGAGCCCCTGTGCTGTGGGCCAGGGCTGTCCCCGTCACTGCTGCACGCCCCCCGCGGGCTGGAGCAGGCAGGGAGCGTGGGGGACACAGCCACGAACAAATCACCCACTCCTGTGCACCCCCACCAAGACCCCTGATTCCAGGCAGAGAAGTGAGGACTGCCACACACACACACACACACACACACACACACACACACACACACGAACGCAAGCATGCACACACGCACACGCCCTGGTGCTCACACCTCCACACTTGCATTCAGAAACCACACGAAGCATCATGGGAAATAACGACGTGCTATGAAATAAGCCCCGGAGGCCCCCCCTCCCAGCCTGGAAAGATGACCACTTCCAGCTGCATGGGGGCTCTGAGCTCCATCGCGCCCACCCCCAGCGGACCTCAGAACTGCATCCCACGGGGCCTGGTTCCCCTAATCCTGGAAGAGTCTGGGTGGGAGCCAGGGTCAGTGCTCCCTCTGCCTCACTCTCGCCACTGCCTCTTTACACACCCATTGCCCAGTGCAAATATTCATGCACCCAGGCCCTACAGGGCTAGCAGAACCTGGTAGGGGGAGGAAATGGAGGCCGAGGTCCACCCTCCTTCATAGCCCCTGAAATTCCACCTTGTCTCATTTCCCTGGATATAGCGGTCCTTCACACTTTAGTATGAGTTCTCCTGTGATGATGCTTTCTTCCAGGAAGGGCTCAGCAGGACAGCTCTGGGCATGCTGAGTGACATGGGAAGGCACACTTGGGAATGTGAAAGAAGGAAAGGGGTGTCTAGAAACAAAAGCCACCTTTTCTGAGGTTGGGGACTCCACAGGGTAGATGCTCTCCACGCACCCCACCCACTTGCCCTTACTCTGGGGGAGCAGGGACCCCAGCATGCATCAGTTCTATAACACCCGCCCACACTAAGGATAAGTCAGCAGCCAGGCGCACATCACATTTAGCTGTTTTTAATGCTCAAAAGCTCTGTACAAAAAAAAAAAAGTCACAAATGAATCCTCACAACACCCCTGTGAGGTAGGTAGGCAAGTATTATTCTCCCATTTGCAGATGGTGACGGGACCGGCGAGGGGTCCCAGCACAGCTGAGAGTCAGGGCCAGCCGCAAGAACACACAGGCTCCCTCCCAGCTCAGTCCCGGTCTCCGACCCCTCCCCTAGACCAAATCTGCAGAGAAACTAAAACTTTTAAATCCATGCAAAAATAACAAAAACAAAAACAACCAATCTGGAAAGGTAGTGAACAGAAGACATACAGTAGTTTTGCAAAAAAAGAAATCAGCCTGGAGGGTCAAACACTTCCCAATACGAGGTGGACACGAACCACTGCAGCCTCTTCGCCCCTTTTCAAACGCCGTGGCCAGGCACACAGCCTCCTGTCCTTCCGGAGAGCATGTAGGCAGCCACAGACAGGCCCCGTGGGCCACGGCGACCAGGCCAGGTGCGCAGCCTCCCCGCTGGTCAGCCCTGGGTGTCCACAGCCCCGGCCCCAGAGGAAGGGCTGCAAGGCTCAGCTCCACACCCTGCCTCCCCTGCCTCTTCTGAGCAGCTTCCCGTTCTCCGGACACAGCAGATGCTCTAGGTCAGCAGTGCGTGGCCCCTTCTGCTCCCCCTGGAAGGCGGCTCAAGGGTCCTCGGCAAGAATGATCTGCAATCCAGGGGCCCCCTTTAGCCCACGCTCACGCTCCACTGCTGGCTCAAGGCCCAGGTCGCCGCGCCCGAGGGTCCCTGCGGCAGCAGGCGGGGCATGGGCCACCCTGGGCTGGCGGCGGGAGGAGGTGCCAAGGGCCCAAGGCTGGGTGCTGTGGCTCACTCAGCACCTCCCACCGGGCTCCCGGGCAAATGGGAGCTGGCTCATCCCACCTTCGGAAGCTCTTTCTTCCCCTGAGAGGGACTCCCTGGTGTTTCTGGCTGCTTAGCAAACTCCACAGTCCTGCCAGCCCCCCAGAGGGGCAGCGGGGTAATGAGAGACCGAGGCCCCTGCAGCGCCCACCACGCCCTGGGGTTGAACTTCTTGAAGTCTCCAGGTCGGAGACGGGCAGGAGAGGCCAGAAAACGAAGTAAAGCTGCCTTTGAAGTCACAAAGCCACCCAGAGGGCTGTCCACTCCCCAGGGAGCCAGGGGCCCCGAGGGCAGTGCCAGGCAGCTGAAGGGGGGAAGCCAGAGGGAGAGCAATGAAGGAATGACAGGAAACCAACCCTGGCCGCTGCTCTGGGCACGGGCAGCCTGCTCGGGAAGGGGAGGGGAAAGGAGGGAAGGGGAAGGAGAGGGGAAGGGAGAGGAGGGCAGTGGCCATGGCAAGTAGCTTTGTTTGGCAACTTGGGGAGTGAGCTGCTTGCAGGGCTGCAGGGTCTGCACTGGCCCTCCTGAGGCTGTTGTCAGACTGTCACTCACGTGTAGGACTGTGCGCTCGCTGTCCTGTAAAAAGCCCTTTCGCAAAGCGGGTCCCACCCAGCCCCGTCTCTCGGAAGCTGGGGCACTGTCCGCTCAGGGCCACTTCCGTGAGGGCACCCCAGCCTCCGAGGGGCCCCGCGGGAGGCTCCGGGGCAGGGGACGGGTCCTACAGGAAGTCCCCGGCGGCGAAGGGCTCCAGGCTGTGGCTCTGCTCCTGCCACCGGCAGCGCAGCCCAGAGAAGGGCAGGTCCTCCGCGCCCTGGAGCTCGGGGAAGCCCAGCTGGTTGAGGATGTCATAGAGCCCGGCCTTCGCAGCCACCTGGGAGGACAGAGGAGATGGGGCTGCACTGCAGGGAGGGAGGGTGTCCTGCGGGGCCCCTGCCCCCTTCGTGCCTTCCTTCCCTCTCTGGAGCCAGAGCTGCCACCTCGTCACAAAACGCAAACGTGCCGAAACCGGTTTGGCTCAGTGGATAGAGCATCGGCCTGCGGACTGAAGGGTCCGAGGTTCGATTCCGGTCAAGGGCATGTACCTTGTCGTGGGCACATCCCCAGTGGGGGGGGGAGGGGTGCAGGAGGCAGCTGATTGATGTTTCTCTCTCATCGATGTTTCTTTCTTTTTCTTTTTCTTAAATATATTTTATTGGTTTTTTACAGAGAGGAAGGGAGAGGGATAGAGAGTTAGAAACATCGATGAGATAGAATCATCGATCGGCTGCCTCTTGCACACCCTCTACTGGGGATGTGCCCGCAACCAAGGTACATGCCCTTGACCGGAATCGAGTCTGGGACCTTTCAGTCCACAGACCGATGCTCTATCCACTGAGCCAAACTGGTTTCGGCATGTTTCTAACTCTCTATCCCTCTCTTTTCCTCTCTGTGAAATAGCAATAATATATATATATATATATATATATATATATATATATATATATATTTTTTTTTTTTTTTTTTTTTTTTAATGTGCAGTTCGCTGAGCTGGCAGGAGGCAGCCCGGGCCCCAGACTCGCCATGTGCTCCGTGCTCCTCGCAGATGGGAGAGCAGCAGTCCCCTGTGAGTCCCCTGCTGGCCCAGCGCCTGGCAAGGGAGCCCTCACCACCCCTCTCTGAGGTGGTGCCCACAGTCGCAACGTGTGTCCATTGTAACATCGAGGCAGCAGTTAACGGGGTTAACTAACTTGCCCAAGGTCGCCCCGGCAGGCGGCAGGGGCTGGGCCTCCATGCACCTTGCCCTTTGCAGAGTGGGTGTGGGCTGAGCACAGAGTGGGCATGAAGAGGCCAGGCAAGGCTGCCTTGGGGACAGGAGCAGGGCCCGCCTGACCACACACCTGGCCCTCCTGCCTCCTCATGCACTCCGCCAGCCACTCGGCCACTCTTCATACTTACTGCTGCCAAGTGCAGGCACCCAGGTCAAACGAGACAAAATCTCAGCCAAACAGAAGAGAGATGAGAAGGCTTCCCACCCACAGGGGCCTCTCCAGGCAGCCTGTCTGCCTCTCTCACCTCCCCCTCTCTCGCCTCCCCCTCTAGCCTCCCCTCTCTCGCCCCCCTCTCTCTCCTCACCCCCCTTCCTCCTCTCTTCCTCCCCCCCTCACCTCCCCTTCTCTTACTTCCCGCCTCTCTCGCCTCCCCCCTCTCTCGCCTCCCCCCTCTCTCGCCTCCCCCCTCTCACCTCCCGCATCCAGGCGCTGAAAGGCCGGGGCCAGGAGTCCGCCCTCTCCAGGTGGAGGTAGGCGTTGAAGAGCACCAGGTAGACATAGCGCTCCAGGTACTGCAGGCTCCGCAGCTGCAGCCTCCGGGCCTCCTGCTCCGACTTGGCTGCCTTCACCTGCAGAGGGCGCCAGGCGGGGTCAGCACAGGTCCTCCCACCCAACACACGTGCACCACACACCACACACTCACACCACACATGCACACCCCACATAAACACACACCATACATACACACACTCACACCATGCACACCACACACACCACTCACCACACTCACACACCACTCACCACACACTCACACCACACACCACACACTCACACCACACATGCACACCCCACATAAACACACACCATACATACACACACTCACTCACACCACACACACCATACACACTACACATTCACACCACATATAAACTTCACTCACGCCACACATACCACTCACACTACACACCACACACATACACACCCCACACATACCATATCACATACACACCTCACACACTTACACCATACACACACACACACCCCATACACACCACACACACTCACACTACAAACTCACTCATACCACACACATACACACCCCGTACACACCACACACTCACACCCCACATATCATACCACACACACATGCAGATACACGTATACACACATACCACATACACCCCACACACAGCCACTCATACCCTCTCACACACCGCGTACGCTCACACCATACGGACAGATACTCACGTACATGCACACACACACATTCACACCCTCAGCACCAGGTGGAGATGGGAGGAAGGGATTCAGACAGCAAGGCCAAGGGCGTCCGAAACCCACTTCCTCCCGGGGAGGTGTGGACAGGTCACCCCACTTCCTCAATGAAATGGTAACCAGGTCCTGTTCTGAGGGCGAGGACAGGACAGGCTGCTGTGGGAACACTCTGTCAGGCCCCCTCCCTCACCAGCTCTGATCGGTGGCCGGACAGTGGTCAGCACGGCTACGCTCTCGGGCTCTGACTGCAGACACAGCCTGGACCCCTCCCTCCCTCGGGGGCTCAGAGGGAGCACATGGCCTAGCTCCGGGCACATGAAGGTTTGGGGGTGGGACCTGTTCACAGAGACGCCGGGGCCTCTCGAGGTTCTTCCCCGTGCAGGGGTCACGGCAGGCGGGGCCAGGCCCAGCTCCCCGACAGGGTCTCCCTGCCCACTCCTGCTGTGCCCTCCCCCACCACAGGGTGCTGTCCACCCTGAAGACACCACCATGCCTCTCTGCACCCAACCCCGTCTCACCCAGGGCCCACAGGCTGTCTCCACTCCAGGGGCCATCCCCTCGGGCTCCTGGGACACGCTGGCTCATGCTCTCTCCCTCTCTCCCTCTCTCCCTCTCTCCCTCTCTCTCTCTCTCTCTCTCTCTCTCTCACACACACACATACATACACACACACACACACACACACACACACACTCCAGCCTCCCGGTCAGCCTCCAGCTGCTGCAGGAAGGTTCCCAGGTGCCGTCCCCCCTCCCCCCAGACATGATTGGGCCACAGTCCTGCAAACCAGGAGCTACAGGGACCCCACCCCCCACCTCTGCCTCAGAGAACCCAGCCTTCGGGCCTCTGCCGTCTCCGATCCCGGGCTGCGTGAGTGGACGGTGACTGACCTCGGGGAAGGTGGGCAGGGGCAGGGCCCAGGACAGCCAGGGCTTGGACTTCCTAGGAGACATGGGCTGGGTTCTGGGCCTGGTTCTGCCACGTAAACTCTCAGCGCCCCCAGGAGGTGGGATTGCTCATGTAAGGTACGAGGAAGCACCGGGAAACCATGGAGAGCCCCATAGGTCCGTTCGTCCATGGAACAGGAGGCAGGGCAACGGCCCACACCCAGGCCCTGCCCCCAGAGACACGGGTGGAGATGTTTGGGGTGAGGGGAGAGGGGGGACAGGAGACAGAGGGGCCAGGTCATGGGATGAAGGCAGGGCAGGCAGCTAGACTGGGGAGGGCACCCAAGAAAAGGTGGTGCTTGAGGTGGGTTAGGACAGAGGGGGCAGGAAGGTGCCCTGTGAGGGGGAGAAAAGGTGTTAAAGAGGGAGGTATCTCCAGGCAGACAGAGGGAGGAGCTCAGAGCTGCAGGGACGGGGAAGATGGAGGCACACCCAGGGCCTGGCCGAGCCTGGACCCTCAGCTGAAGGGGCAGTGAAGGCTTCTGGGAATCTGAGGTTGGGAATGGCCCCGGGCTACTGCTGGGAGACAGATCAGAGTACCTATTGCTTTAAACTATCAACCAACTTTATTTAAAACGAGGCCGTGGACAGAAAACAAAAGGATCTGACCTAAATACACGCCGTGGCCAGCACAGCGCAGCTCTGGCCACCACAGATGGATACCACCGGCCGCGCCACAGGGCTTCACCCCATCCGTGATGCTGTCCCCCAAGCTCCATCCGGAGGCCCGGGGCCAGGGTGAAACTACTTCCTTAGAAGGAAAGGCAGTCACCAGGGGTCCCACCGGAGAAAAGCCACTGTGAACTCCTCCCAAAGAAACAGCGAGAAGAAATGTCCCAACTCGGCGCGGCTCCCAGACCAGCCGTCCTCTCAATGCCCCCACCCCACCCCCACCCCCACTCCCATGGGGACGCGGTCTGCGGCCGAGACCCCACTGAGGCTCGGGTCTGCACAGCAGTCATGGTGGAGAGGCCGAGCGATTCCTCCTGAGCCCCCTGGCAAGGCAGGGTAGAATTATCTCTAAATGCAGACCACCGGCTATAGATGACGCCTGGACACTCCCCGGAAGGTTCCATGGGCACATCCTGCCCCATCGAAGTCTGTGATTTGAGGAATGACCCGTCTTCCTACCGAGGCCCTGGCTTCCTTAAAATCACCCGTGTTGGCCCTGCCTGGGGAGGAGGCTGGGCCAGCCACCTCCTGCCGGTAAAAATAGTGGAGCTGTTTTTAAATGGCCTGGCAGGCCAGGCTGTCATTAGCTGTGGTGCGGCGGGCAAGACCTCCTGGTCCACTGGGACTGAACCCTGAAATAGGAGGGGCCCGGGAATGCTGGCCAGGGCACTGGCATTTCCGGCCTCCCCAACTCTGCCCGGCACCCATGGCCCACTGCCTACTACGCGCTGGGTGAGCCCGTTCCATCCAGACCTGATCATTGGAGTCCAACCTGCTCCCGGGGAGGCAGTGTGCAGGTGAGGAGGGCCTCTCTGGGGGTTAGGGGTCTGGCGGCTCTATCTCCTCCTGCCACCCACTAGCTGTGTGGTCTTGGGCAAGCACAAGGGTCTTCCTTCCTCAAATGCAAAAATGGAGGGAACAGGCCTGGCCAGTGTGGCTCAGTAATTGAGCGTCAACCCACGAACACAGAGATCATGGGTTTGATTCCTGAGTTTCAGGCTCCATCCCCAGTGGCGGGAGTACAGGAGGCAGCCAATCAATGGTTCTCTCTCACTGATATTTCTCTCTCTCTCTCTCTCTCTCTCTCTCTTTCTCTCTCTCCCTCCCTCCCTCCCTCCCTCCCTCCCTCTCCCTCTCCCTCTCCCTCTCCCTCTCCCTCTCCCTCTCCCTCTCCCCTTCACCTCTCTCGAAACAGATTTACACATTCAACATAGAAAAAATCTCAGCTGCTTCCCTGCAGAGGGGGACAAGGACTGTGCCTGACCGGGAGCACCAGCATCACGTAGGAGCCTGCTGGACATCCAGCCCTACAGAACCTAAGACCCCGCTGGAGTACAGCAACATGCTTTCTAACACCTCTCCGGGGGACCCTGGCGTTCACTGAAGCAGGGGACCCCTGCTGAGAGGATCTAGTGTCCTCGACCTTGCCCAAACACTGGAATCCCCAAGAGAAATTTTTTGTAAAAGACCCATCCTCTGGGCCCCAAGCAGACCAATTAAATCGGACTCTCCGGGGATGGAGTTCAGTGAAGGGTGTTTTTGAAAGCTCCCAGGTGAATCTATCACGCAGCCAGGTGAGAAGGGCTGCGTTAGGTGTCTGAGGGCCATGCCTTCTTCAGCATGGCGCAAGTTCAGCTCGCCGGGGCCACCTGGTGGGCGCACTGCGAAATAACACTACATCCTGCTTCTGTATCACCACCCACAGCCATGACCACCACCATCCTCCCATGGCAAAGGTCAGCACCATCCTGGCCTTTGGAATAGGGGGCTGGTGGGCGTGGTGGGGAGAGGGAAGGGCTCTCCACTGGCTCTTCTTCCTGCCTCCTCCCTGAAACACTCCACAATCCAAAGGCAGCAGGAGCATCCACTGCTAACCATTGCCCCAGCCACACCACCCTTCCCTCTCTATTGCCAGAGTTAGAACCGCCTTACCCACTCAACATCATCTGAGAGCTCTCAACACCACGGTGCTCACAGGCTCCAAAGCACCTCCACTGCCTCCACACCTACCGTGTTTCCCCGAAAATAAGACATCCTCCGAAAATAAGACCTACTTACAGGTTTCCTTCTGAGTGAAATATAAGGCATCCTCCCGGAAATAAGACTCCCCCCCCCCAGGCTAAACATGAGAGATTTGGTCCACTGATTCTGAAAGAAATGGAGTCACAAGAAATTCACCAGGAAATTCAGGAATTGGATTGTTATGATGATGTTCCAGAAGATGATGACATGATTGTCATTGAATAAACGAGTAAATTCTTGATACTGTAGGATTCACAGTTTGTCTGGTTTGTGTTGACAACTACTGTACTACCGTACCGTATACTGGTAATAAATTTCCTTAATTTTCATTTAACAATAAATGTGTACAGTATTCTTCTTCATGGAAAAATAAGACGTCCCCTGAAAGTAAGACCTAGCCCATCTTTGGGAGCAAAAATTAATATAAGACACTGTCTTATTTTCGGGGAAACAGGGTACTTCGCACCATTCGGCCTCCTGGCTTCTGCCCATGAGCCCCTCCTGCCAGAAGGGCCTTCCCCAGCTCCTATGATGCTAGGACTGTTCCAGATCAGTTCTGTGGGCCCTCTCCTCTCTCCCCTTAGTGCTCCCTGCTCCTCCCTGTGTGCCTCACAACGGACACCCGTGGCTGCAGAGCTCAGGAGGGGAGGGTGATCCCCTTTGGAGGTGGGGTGGGGTGAGATACCCAGAATGCCTAAGGAGGGGTGCGGGGAGGGGGCCTCTGATGCTTTGAAGCAGGGCTAGGCTTCCCTTCTAACTCCTTGAGCTTCCAGCTACAGAGAGAACCGGAAGCTCAGGTCTCGGCCCCCTCAGTGCTAGGCCCCCTCCGTGTCCTCTGAAAGCCAGAGGAGCTCAGTCTCTTAGCGCATGGCTGCCACCCAGTGGCCGCATCCACACCCCTGTGAAGGCCCTAGAGAAACAGATATGAGCTGGCTGGGAACTTGGGGAAAATAGTCCATCTTCCAAAGGTCAGGAAAGTCCATTTTCTGAAACTCCTTAGCCACCTCCTCCACCCACATCTGGCAGCTCTTCCAACTGACTTCTGACCTTGAGCATCGCCTGCCCCAGCCAAGCACCCACCCATGACCCTGAGCAAAGGTTGGCATGGATCAGCCATTTCACCAGGGGGTGCCCGGCGCAGGCAGAGCATGACGCTGGCTTGGAGCAGCCCCTTCTCGCAGGGGCCACAGGCAGACGCTGCCCTTGGGGATTGCTGGCCAGCAGCAGACAGCACAAGGCTGGCACCAAGGAGATGCCCACTCACTTCAGCCCTCAGGCACAGTCTTCTTGAAGCCCCCACTGCTGCCCCTTCCTGACCCAGCACCACCGCTGCCCCAGCAGCCAACCAACTGATGGGACCGGAGGAGCACGGAATAGGCCACTCCATGTGCCACAAAGTCCAATGCCCAAGGCTGCCGGGCCGGTCACATGACGGGGCCGGGAGGGCCATGTGTGACAGCGCACTGGGGACCATGGCCTCCAAGGGGGCACCATTTTTCTAAACAGGCTGGGAATCTGAATTTTTACATGTATCTGGACCTTTGCGGAAACCTTCTGATTTACTGCCCATTCCCTCCACGGTGTCAGCTGTCAGCTGCTGCCCTGCTGGCTATCTAACAGCCGGCCCCAGGATCACAGAATGGCCCCGTCTGCCCCGGGGCCCCCTGACAGAGGCAGAAGGGCTGATGCCTGGCACCCCGTGGAAACCTGGGCAGACAGGGAACCTGGGCAGACAGGGTTCCGTGCTGGTTGGCCACATACTTGCCAGGCCCAGTTGCTGAGCCTCTGACCTGCTTCCCTGCACACACTCTACCACGTGCTCCAGAATCAAACGGGGGGGCGGGGGGAGGTTGGGGCCGGGCGTGTTTCCATTTCAGGGGTCACCTCCGTTTCCAGCAGGTGGTGAGGCCCAGAGCCCACGAGGGTCCCCAGGGACGCCTAGCCGCTCCCGCCCACAGCGGCCACGCCCCGGGCCGCGCGGGGCGAAGGCGCTCGCCTGGCGGAAGGTGCAGATGATGATCTCCCGCAGGTGGTAGTGCATGGGCGTCATGGTCTCGCTGACGGTGTCCAGCGCCGCGTCCACCTCCTTCTTCACGCGGTGCCCGTCGGGCAGCAGCTGCACCACCTTCATCACCACCTGCGCCAGAGGAGGGGGCTGAGCAGAGAGAAGACCAAGGGGCCGGGAAGCGGGGGAGCCTCACCCTCAACCGCAGCCTCGCCCCACACCAAGGCCACTGGCCTCAAGGCTCAGGCCCGGACCCCAGTTCTCAGGTGGGGCTGGGACAGGGGCTCCCGATACCTGAGGCCAGGGCTCCCAAGGTGGTTGCTTTCCTAAGCGGTAGAAACCTTGTTTCAAAAAACCCTTCTCCAGACTCTTATCTACAGAACAGAAAGCTGTGTGCACAGGCGAGGGGGGGCGGGGGGTGGTGTGAATAAGCAGGCAATGCAGGCGATGGTCACCACCACCAGCAGAGGCCACAGGCATTTCGGGGACACCCAAGTACGGGGAACCCAGCATGGATCCCTCTCATCTGATGCCAACCCCCCTTTACTCCTAGGGAAACTGAGGCCTCTGAAGGCCCCTCTGTAGGGTAGGGCTCTTCCCCCTAGTCATCCCCCTGGTAACTCTGTGGATCAGGCACCCCCACAGCCAGCGCCAATCCCAGTCTCCATCGCCTCTCACCCCACGGTGGCACCCCGCCTCCTCTCTGGGAGCCAGAGAGGGCCTGTGGGAATGTAACTGGGAAGAAGCTGCTGTTTATTCAAATCAATGAAGGGAACTCCTAGCCTCTCCCCTAAATTGCTCCTCCCCAGGAATTCTTCATCTCCTTGGCTGTCACCACTGCCAGCCAGAAACCCACACTCATCCTGGGTGCCTTCCTTGCCCCAAGACCTACCAATGAGAGCTGAGCTTCTCCTGCTGATCCCCAGCCCCACCTCTCCTCGCTCAGGCCTGCCTCTCCTCTCCTCTCCCTGCTCCATACAACTAAGCCCCCACCCAACGACCATGACCTCCTCTGCCTCCATGCTAGCCTCAAGGTCAGGGTCAAGCACTTAGTGTAGCCCTTCAGAGTCCTCACAATCTAGGCCCTCCCACCTCAGCCCCAGTACCTTCATGCTTGCCAATTGCAGCCTTAAACAGCCCCTGTCCTTTCCAGACTCGCTCTTTTGCACACTTGATCTCCTCTGCACACTAATCCTCCTCACCCACACACTCACTCATCTTTCTGAAATGTACTCTAATGTCACCTCCTCCACGAAGCCCTCCTGGGCTCCCCCAGTTGCGCCCTCAGCCTCAGAACCAAGGCCTATTCCAGCCCTCTTCACATCATGTGGGATGCTCCCTGCCAGGCTGTGGGCTCAATAGACCCAAACTAATTGCAAAGGAAGCTGGTCTAGACAGGGGAATGTCTTGGGATGGGTGAGGACAGGGGGTTAGGGGCATCTTTGGGTCAAATAACTTTGGAACACAGGTTCTGAGGTCCACTCTCTGACATGGCCTAGGGGGTGATGAGCCTAGCTCCCTGTGCCTCAGTTTTCTCACCTGTCAATTGAGAGTTGCAAGGGCACTAACTCTTGGGGACTGTAAAGGATGAATAAGAGCGTGCACACAGCTCCTAGCAAAATGCGGGAGGTGCGTAAAAAGAGGTCTAAGTATCACATCTGATTGACATGAAGACTAAGGAAATAAACTCTCACAGATATGATCAAATGACTATTGACCAGGATACAAGACCATCCGGTGGGGAAAGGACATTCTTTTCCACAAATGGTGCTGGGAAAACTGAATGTCCACGAGCCAAGGAATGAACCTGAACCCCCAGCTTCCCCATATGCAAACATTAACTCAGAATGGACTCAAATCTAAGAGCTAAAACTATAAAACTCTTAGAAGAAAACAGAGGGAAATCTTCATGACACTGCATTTGACAATGACTTCCTGAACATGACAGCATAAGCATGAGGCAACAAAAGAAAAGATAGACAAACGGAACATTAAATTTTAAGACGTTAGCAAAAAGGGACACTATCAGCAGGGTAAAAAGGCAATCCACAGAATGGAAGGAAACACTTACAAATCACATAGCTGATAAGGGATTGATATCTAGAACATAAAAAGAATTCCTACATCTCAACAACAAAACAACTCAAATCAAAAACAGGCAAAGAACTTGACAGACATTTCCCCACAAAGATATACAAATAGCCTAATGGCACATGAAAGATGCTCAACACCAGTAATTATTAGAGAAATGCTCATCAAAACCACAATGCTATGCCACTTCAGACTCACTAGGATGGATATTATTTAAAAAACAAAACAAAACAGAAAATGACGTGTTAGCCAGGGTGTGGAGAAACTGGAACCCTTGCATCCTGCAGGTGGAAATGTAGAATGGTGTAGCTACTGTGGAAAACAGGATGGCAGTTCCTCAAAAGTTAAACGTACAGTTACCATACGGCCCAGCAATTCCGCTTATGGAATTGACAGCAGACTCAGATATCGGTACACCCATGCTCATGGAAGCATTATCCACAGCAGCCAAAAGGTGATGGATAAAAAAAATACGGTATAGGCATCTAGTGGAATATTTGTCAGCCTTTAAAAGGAAGGAAATTCTAATACATGCTCAACATGAAAGAACCTTGAAGTCATTATCCTAAGTGGACTACACAGACACAAAATGACGAACGCTTACTATGAAGTGCTGTATTACAAATGATTCTACTCATATGCAGCACATTGGACAGTCAAATTCAGAGACAGAAAATAGAACAGTGGTTACCAGGAACTGGGGGGAAGGAGGATGGGGAGTGACTGTTGGATGGCTAATCCATTTGGAATGATGAAAAAGCTCTGGATGGACCAAAACCGGTTTGGCTCAGTGGATAGAGCGTTGGCCTGCAGACTGAAAGGTACCGGGTTCAATTCCGGTCAAGGGCATGTACCTTGGTTGCGGGCACATCCCCAGTAGGGGGTGTGCAAGAGGCAGCTGATCGATGATTCTCTCTCATTGATGTTTCTAACTCTCTATTCCTCTCTTCCTCTCTGTAAAAAAATCAATAAAGTATATTTAAAAAAAAAAAAAAGAAAGAAAGGAAGAAAGAAAGAAAGAAAGAAAGAAAGAAAGAAAGAAAGAAAGAAAGAAAGAAAGAAAGAAAAGAAAAGAAAAGAAAAAGCTCTGGATGGTGGTGATGGTTGTGCAATAAGGAGAACATACTTAAGGCCTCAGAATTGTGTACTTAAAAATGGTTAAAATGGTAAATTCTGTGCTATGTATATTTACCACAACAAAAACATAAGAAGAGCATCGGTAAAAATAAAGAGAGAAAAGGGCCAGGTGAGGGAACAGCATGTGCAAAGGCCCGGAAGCTGAGAGAGCTTGGCGAGTTTGATGACCCGCGAGGAAGCCAGGGTGGCAGGACGGCAGGGAGAGGCGCATGGCTAGGCTGGCCAGGTAGGCAGGAGCCAACCACAATGCTGACACCGGGCAGCCACGCGCTAGCTCTGAGCTCCACATCCCCACCTGTAAGAGGAGACACTGCCACCTACTTGCCCAGTATCTAGGAAGACGACATGCATGTGGTGGGTGATAATACATGGGAAAGGTCAGTGGCTGTCCATCCAGTGTCCTGAACGGAAATGGGGTTGGGTTGGGCAGGCCAGAGCCCCGCACCAAGGTCACCCACCACAGCTGGGTCCCAGGTGCCTAGGAGAGGGGGGTGTCAATGCTACCCAGACAAGAAGGTGGCCAGTGGACTCCCTCAGGACAGACGTCACCTAGCAATAGGGTTAGGCAGGATGAGGGGCATCCAGACCCCTTATCACCCATGGTCATCTGCCAGGGCCCCAGAGCCAAGCTGCCCCACACCTTGGTTTGCTCACCTGTGAAATGGGAACAGAGAAGCACTGATGTGATGAAGTGGAAGAGGAAACAGCATTAAGAGCTCTGAAAATTCCTCCCGACCTGCCAGCAAAACATGCCCTCCCCCAGGCATCTCCCAGGGACTGAACAGGGCGTGCTCACCTCAAACTCCCCCTTGGTGAACTTGGCATCGGGCACACTCACGAGTTCCTCCTCCGCCACCTCGGGAAAGCCCTGAGGGAGGACAGCTGCTGAGATGGGAGCACTTCTTCCCAGGCTTTACTTCTCCCTCAGCCCATGAGCCCCTTGCCAGGGGTCTGCCCCCCACTGCCCTCTGCCCAGGATGTGTGGAAACACCAGGCGTCAGCTCTACCCCTGCACCCTCCTGGCATAGCCGGTGTCCCCAGGCACCCAGTGCCCACGCTGCCTGGGCGGACCGCGGCCCCCACACGAGGCCTCACGTACGCGGATGTGCCAGAAGGCGAGCACGGCCACCACCATGGCCGTCGTGGTCCGGCCCTGGCCGCTGAGGCAGCTGAACACGAAGCCGACGCCCGCGTCCTTGGTGAGGGCGCCCCGCAGGACCTCAAACAGCCGGTCAAAATCCTGCGTGGGGAGACCAAGGTCTGAGTCAGTGGGTGCTCCTGGCTGCACAGACTCCCCGGGGTGGCACACCTCCCAAAAGGGAGTGCTCACCCTATGCCAGGCTATGTGCCAGGCTCACAACCTGTCTACACACACTCAACTCACTGCAGTGCACACAAGACCACGAGCATGTCACACCCCGTGGACAGCATAATCCCCACCCCAGGACCGGGAAGGACATTTAAGCCAACAGACACATGCTCAAATGTGGGCTTCTGCTGCCCACCGTCCACCAGGCAGAACACACACATGTGCACACACTCCGATGTGCTGCGCCCCAGGCCACGCATGGACCCCCTGCTCCACTGCCCACCGGAGATGCACCCCACAACCCAGGTCCCAACCTCAGCGGGTTATTGCAGAGCACGGCCACCAGGGGGCGAAAACCTACAGACAACCAGACCCATAGCGCAAAGGGAGACAGGAAACCCAGGCCCCATCACCTCCTATCAGACCGCCCTACACACACCGCAAAGACCCACACAGACACAGCACCCAAACAAGGTATCACAGGCACACAGCGACCCTCACACAACACACACTGGACACACACACCACTCAGAGGAATCCACTTACCTTAAAGACACACTCTACACAGACACCCACAAAGACATAGGTCACAAACATACAGAAGCCACATGCACACAGACCCCTTCAGTGACACAGCATCCCACAACACCCTCCTCCACAAAGCTCAGACACACACACACCACATATTTCCTCAAAGACACACTCTCCACACTTGCCCCAGTAAAGGTAAGATATCCATCACAGACATCATTAAGAGACACACACCACACACATATACCCATTGTACATGACACCCACTCCAGTCCCCCAACACACATATACCACAGACACCACGGACATGCTCCCCCTCATACACGCCTACAGCATGTAATAAACACACATGCACACACACACACACACACACACACACACGCATGCAAATGCCAAGCTTGGGAGGGATGTGAGTAAACCACCTGAGCCAAATCCAAAACCCTGTGGCACCAGCTCCCGGTCCCTCAGCAGAGCCGTGGCCGTGGCCAAGGCCCAGGTCAGAGGGGAAGCGGCCCTGCCTGCCTGGCCCCTCACCTCCTCACGGGGGGCACAGAAGTCTGGCAGGGGGATGCGGTGGTAGGTGAGGCCGGGGCAGGCCCCGCGGTGCTGGCTGAAGACCTCCTGCATGGTTAGGCACGTCTGGAACCTGGGGGTCCGGGGACCCTCCGTGCCTGCGGGAGGCGCGCTCAGGTGGGCCTTCAGCTGGGTCTCCAGGTCCTAGGGAGGTGGGACAGAGGGCACACAGGCTACTGAGGCAGCCTCCGGGCCAGACCTGAAAGACCAGAGTCTGCTGTGGCCAGGACAGTCCTGGCTTCCGGACCCGTGGCTGCCCGGACCCGGGCCTGCTCTTCCCAAGCCTCAGGGATCGTAAACCAGACCCGGGGCCAGGCAGGGGGCCATGAAAGGAATCCTGAATCACCCACTCCCTCACACTCGGGGGCCTCTGTTTCTCCATCTGTACAATAGGCGCATGGGACCTTCCAAGGACCCTCCCAGGCCAATTCCCTGGAAGGCTAGAGGCGTGCAGAAGGCGGAAGGGCCTCACCTCCAACTGCTCGGTGGTCATGGGCGGCCCCGGCCACCGCAGGCTGTGGGTGTGCCCGTCACACTCCAGCACCGCCTCCTCCCGCAGGCTGACCCAAACCACCTGCTGCAGCTTCCTCTTGGCATCGGTCAGGTAGGCCAGGATACTGCCCAGGGCCTGCAGGCGCAGGAGGGAGGTCGGCCGAGGGGCTCACCCTCTCCTCCCGCCACCCCACCAATGGACCCCGGCCAGCTGGGGTGGTCACCTTGGCGCTGGGCTGGGCTGTGCCGTAGATGGGCATCCGGGACACCCGCCGGAAGTTGGCCACGTCCATCTCCTTGATGGTGCTGAGTGCGTCTGGGGAGACGAGATCGTCCGCCCTCTGTGGGGAGAGCGGCAGGCCTGGCACTCACAGCGGCCACCGGGAGGGTCGGAACCGGCCTCAGGGAGCGGGGGCAGTGGAAGGTGGGGCAGCACTTGGCACCCAGAGCTTCGTCGCTGCCCTGGCAAGGGGACCGGCGGTGCCCACGCGCCAGATGAGGACGCTGAGGCTGGTGGCAAAGACCTTAGAACTGGGTCTCCCGACCCCTGCCCAGACCACTCGGTGTGAGACGGGGCAGAGGGGCCAGAACGCGGAGAACGACCCCGTCACACTCGCAAGAAGATCCCACACCCATAGGTTGTCGCCGCTTTGCCTCTGTGAGGGTGCTGCTCCCCTGAGCCCCGCAGGAACCACAGGCCAGCCCCCCCACACCCCGCTTCCCCAGGCAGACAGCCCCACTCACCAGGGAGCCCTTGGTGATGAGGTCCCCGGGGGCCACGGGCTCCGCTGGGCTCAGCGTCACAGGCAGGCGGTACAGCTCGGGGTGGGCACACAGCCAGCGGCTGAAGCTGAGGGCAAAGGCCAGCAGGTACTGCCGCCCAAGGCAAAGAGAGACGGGGCTCAGGGGCACAGGGCCACCCCAAGCTCTCCCTGCCTGCCCCAGGGTGGGGGCGAGGGGGTGTCCCAGGTAACACCCCTGATGGCCCAGGGCATGGATGAGAGTGTGGGGAACAAAAACCAGGATGCCCAAGGCAAGATCTTTCTGGGCCCCAAAGCCCTGGCTAAGGGCACCCAGATAGGGTCCAGGGGTGAGCGGTAGGTCCTCCCTTTTCTCAGGGACCACCCCCACCTGGGTCTCCCCTTACATCCCCCACACCTGCCTTCCTCTGGAACCAACATATGTGTCCCCAACTCCCCCCCCTAATTCCACAGGGGTCCTCGTTGGCCCCAAGCCTGTCACCGGTGGGAGGCTGGAGGGGCCGGGGAAGGGTGGGGTCCTTGCATCCCGGGCCCACCTGCTCGTGCAGATAGTAGTTAAACAGGATCAGGTAGAAGTACCGCTCCAGGCTCTGCAGGGCCCTCTGCCGGACGCCCTGCTGGCTACTGCTGCCCTGAGAGGAGGGACAGGAGAGAGGCTGGGAGGTAAAGATGGGGCTGCTCTGGGAAGCCCCACCGGGAAGGAGGGCAGGAGTTCAGCCTCAGAAATCCCCGAGCAGGGGTATAGCATCGCCCTGAGCCAGAGGCCCTCACCTCCCTGCTCCTGGGACCCTCCCTACAAGAAAACGAAAAGCATCGAAACCGGTTTGGCTCAGTGGATAGAGCGTCGGCCTGCGGACTGAAAGGTCCCAGGTTTGATTCTGGTCAAGGGCATGTACCTTGGTTGTGGGCACATCCAGAGTAGGGGGTGTACAAAAGGCAGCTGATCGATGATTCTCTCTCATCGATGTTTCTAACTTTCTATCCCTCTCCCTTCCTTTCTGTAAAAAAATCAATAAAATATATTTTCTTAAAAAGAAAGAAAGAAAGCGAAAAGGCCCACAAGACAGTGCTCCAAGGAGCCACAATCACTACCCCTATGTAGAGAGGGAAAACTGAGGCTCAGGGCAATGAAGGGTCTTGGTCCACGTCACAGAGCCGGGTCCCCCAAACCAGCGTCCTAACCCCAGCCCAGCACTGTGGGTGGGGGCTGTCGGCGGGCAAGACTCCCCAGGCTCCTTCCCTCGCCTTCAGCTGTCAGGTCCTGCTGGGTGAGCACCGGCCTCAGAGGGCAAGGGAGACGGGGACAGGCCCGAAAGAGAAGCCAGGCCCTTGGATGAAGTTTAATTCCATCTTTGGGAATCCGGGATAGAGATCAACAAGCGACTGCTTCTATAAAAAGCCACGCAGTGAGAATGCTCGGTTTGCAGGCAGAGGGTCTCTGTTCAGCGCCACCGCCGTGGCGGAGCAGCCAGAGACGGCGCAGAATGCGTGGGCGAGACCAGCCCCGGGAAAACACATTCACCAAAGCAGGTGGTGGGCGGGGTCTGGACCGGGGCCACCGTGTCCCAGCACCTGCTCCAGGCTACGGGAGAAAAATCCTACGTGCACAGAAGCTCATGGTCACAGAGCTGCTTGGCACAACAGTGCTGACAAGGATAAGGAATGAGAAGGGACTCAACTGTGCGCCGAGGAGGGGTCTGTGATGAATCACGGCCAGTGACTGCCAGGAATGCCTGCCTGGGTCAGGTCCCCGCTAAGAGCTTTATGGGTCTCATCTGACCGGCCCTCCACAGCAGCCCCAAGGGTCACTATCATCAGTGGCCCCTAGCCCACACCCACACGCCTGGGAGAGTGTGGCAGGGCCAGGACCGGACCTGGGCCACCACGCTCTTACTCTGTCAGCCCAGTGATGCTGAACCATACAAGGAGCTTAAGCTACGCAGCCCAGAAAACTCTCCGTGACAGCGAGCAGGGATGAGCAGCGGAAAGACACACAGAACACGCAGGGTGCGAACCCCCTGCTGGGGTCGCCTACACGGGAATATGGTCAGCGTGAAAGAGGAAAGAATACGCCCGATGTGCTCGCAGCCGGCTCTGCTGGGATTACTGGAGTTTCCTTCTCTAATTTCTCAGTTTTCCATCATGTAATGCTGCTTTTTAAAGACGTTTGTAAAGTGTTAAAGAAGGAAAAAGCTCTAGCTGAAACCGGTTTGGCTCAGTGGATAGAGTGTCAGCCTGCAGACTGAAAGGTCCAAGGTTCGAATCCGGTCGGGGCATGTGCCTTGGTTGCGGGCACATCCCCAGTGTGGGATGTGCAGGAGTTTGCTGATCGATGTTTCTCTCTCATCTATGTTCCTAACTCTCTATCCCTCTCTCTTCCTCTCTGTAAAAAAGCAATAAAATATATTTAAAAATAAAAAGGAAAAAAAGCTCTGCAGCTTCAGATACGTTCCGCGCACTGTTTGCAAACACTGCCCTGCGCCCTCACCCGGGGAGGGGACCGGCCTGCTGAGACAGCAAGAGCCGTCACGCTCCCGGTGGCGGCAGGCTGGACCCGGCCCCGCCGTCCTGAAGAGAGGCCAAGGTTTTATGTGGGGGAGAGCCACGAGCATCCTGGGAAGTATCTAAATCCAGAGGCCCCAGCACCCCGCCGGCAGCCCCTTCCTCCATCCTGTTTATCCTACAGCGAGGGACCTGGTCAGGGAAAGTAAACTTCCCTCTTCCTTCCGTCCTCCCTGCACATCCCGCCCCCAACCCCTTCCTCTGCAAACCGCGCTTCTCTGGGGGAAGCAGCAGCCGGGACAGGCCCGTGGGAAAGAAGCTAGCCACCAGGCCCAACAAATGGGGCTGCGGGTTGACCGAACACGGCGGCTGTCCCCGCTCCACGCCTCACCTGGGCCGGGCTCTCGGGCCGGACACGGTCCAGCTTCCTCTGGTGCTTTAAGACTGCTTCCTTCAGGTCGTGCAGCTCAGCGCAGGCCGTGATGGCTCTGTCCACCTGGGGCCAGGGGCCAGGGGCCAGCAGCAGGGAGGGTGCAGGGCCCAGAGAAGAGGGTGGCAGGCAGAACAGAAGGAGGTAAAGAGGATGATTAGCCAGGAATGAGAGCAGGGAGTTCCAGGGGAGGAAGGGTGTGAGGGTGTGAATGCTCCCTGCCCGGCCCCTGCCCCGCCCCCTTGCTCACCTCCTCCACCATCTTCCTGCCCTGAGGCACCGCGTGGAGGAAGCTCTGGATCACCTGGAGCTGCTCCAGGGGCAGGAGCTTGGTCTTCGCAGGGGCAGGCCTGACAAGGAAGGGGCGGGAGCATCCTCAGGGCACAGGATGGCCCTGCTGGGACCCTCCAGTTTGTGTGGCCGCTGAGAGGCACCAGGCTCCAGGCGTGAAATGCTCCTTTCAAGATGGGGCGGGAGGGGGGTGGGAGCAAGGGGCATTTTCCCCACTGGGGAAACTGAGGCCCAGAAAAGTCAAGTGACTTTGCCAAGTCTACAGCAACCGGGACACGAACCCCAGCTCCCCGTTTCCAGCTCTGGCTCTGAGCCCCCGACACATCCCTGGGGCCCTGCCCACACCACTCACTCAGGCCCTGAGGCAGTCCCGCTCTGGTGAAACAGGACGAGGGTCCCCAGGACCATGCCCAGGTTGGCCCTGCCCACACCCGTCTGGCAGCTGAAGAGGAGAGCAGGGGGAGGCCCGTGGGCGTCTCGGAGCAGCAGCAGGCTGGGGGTCTCCTGGGAAAGGATCATGGATATCATGTCACAGCACGACCCAGACACCCCTCGGCTGAGGAGCTGGTAGGGGTTAGGGGTCGTGACCCAGGCCCACCCCCACCCCAGTCTGCAGCAAATGGCGGACAGACAGGAAGCTCGGCCCCTTTTGCCAAACCCCAAGGCCCGATCTGCTCCACCCGCCCCGGTAGCACAGGCTCTGCCTCCTTCCCTGACCCAAAGGGAGACCAGGGCACTGGCTCTGGAACTGAGAGCCACTCAGGAGCAGGGCCTCACCTAACGCCCTTGTGAGGTTCTGGTTAAAGGGACCCCGAAGGGGTTGGGAGAGAAACACCACGGGACTCAGGAAATATCAGAAGAGCCCAGAGGGTGAGAATGTTTGGCTCCAGTAAAGAAATGAGGAACCTGAGGTCTAGAGTTAGCAGATTTGTCCAAGGTCACACGGCAGGTTAGCAGCCTCGTCACAGCCCATGCTGGGCCCTGCCATCGAGCGTGTACAAATACACACCCACACAGGCACACAGATGCACACAACCCCCACACACATGCACACATATCCATCATACTCAACACCACCCACAACTCAGAGGCCACGCCTTCCCTGAGCATCTCCATGGAGACAGGGCCTCTGCACAGACCCACCCTCCAGGCCCTTCCTTGCTCCCTACACCCCTCCACCCCACTTACCCGGAGGACATTGACAAAGGCATCAAACTGGGATTCCAGGGGAGCCCCTTGCTCTGGCAGGGGCAGGCGGTGGTACCTGCCAGGTGAGGGGGGAGTAGCCAGTCAGGCAGGCCACATACCCCGGGCGTCCCCCACCCCTGCATTCCATCCAGCCACACCTGCCGCTGGTGAGGCTGAGGCCACCGCTGGAGGGCAGACCCAGATCAGCGTGCCCAGCACCCCGGGGCCCTCTGCAGGGCTGGCCCTCGGTACCTGTAGGCGGGCTGCAGGAATAAGGGCCGCTTGTACACCCCCTCGGTCACGTGCACATCATCCTCACCCCGGATGGCCACGGCGTGGGGCTCCCCCCGCAGGTCCTCGACGTTGTGGTACACGTGGTACGTGTTCTCGCTCAGCTGGGCAAAGTCGTGAATCTGCACGGAGGAGCGGGGGCCGGAGGGCCATGACGGATGTTCAGGCCACCCAGAGGGAGCTCCCTGCCAGGGTGCTCTCTGTGACCTGTGAGTCCCACGGGCAGCTATCCATGCCCTGGGGTCAGGGGAAGGGCTCTGCCCAGCGGGCAGCAGGAGTTAGCTAAGCCACCAGACTGAAGGACAGGGCCAGACGTGGTCAGCTGGGACCAGAGAGGAGGTCTGAAAGGGAGATGGGGGACCACCAGTGGCCACTCCAGACGAGACGTCTGCCTGTGAAAGTCTGGGGGGAACTGTGACCCCCATACCTCTGTGGTATGTCAGCAGCCTCTGAGGCCTTGACAAACCCTGTAGAGGGTGGACAGCGGGACCTCAGAAACCAACAGGAGAGACGTGACCCACCCCAGGGCTCAGAGCTCAGAGCTCAGGGGGCTGACCTCAGCCTCAGGCTCCCAGCCGAGTGCTTTCGCCCCACCAGACCTTTTTCTAAAAAGGATGCTGTGTGTGGGGAGAGAAGCAGGTGGGAAAGGGGCGGGGGCGAACAGCGCTGGGAACAGGACGTCCTTCCTCTGGCTGCCCGTGAGCCGGCCCTTAGCCAGCCCCTGGCCCAAGCAGGGCGGGAAGATGGGCACGTATGAGCCAGTGAGAGAAGCTGCCCAAGGCCCACCAGGGAGGGCACCGCCCACACCAGGGGCTCTCACCTCCTTCCGGATGGCCAGCTCCAAGCTCTCCGCCTGGACCCCGGACCCCACGCCCTGGAGGTTCTCGTGGAGGCTCTTCTTGTCGCGGGGTGTGTAGGGCACAAAGTCCTCCTCCGCTCGCAGGAACAGCACGGGCTCCTCCCGCACACAGAAGACGAGGCACTCCTGCCGGGAGCCCGAGGTCGGAAGTCACCCCGGTCGGGCAGGGACTCCGGTCCACTGCCCCCCCGCCAGGCCATTCCCCTCTTCCAGGGCTCTGCACCCCGCTGTGGCCCTGACACCTGAATCCTACCCAGGAAGCAAAGCTCAGACCAAATGCTACCTGCCCCCGACCCTCCCTCCTCTCAGGGTGTGTAGTCCTCCCTCTGAACGTCCTAATGTCCATTCCCCTTTGTAGTAACATCATCAATGAACACATCTTTTCTTCAGGGGGTCACAGGCTCCTCCCAGGTAGACTCACATCCTGGCCTCTGCAACTCCTAGCACAGAGCCCTGGACCCATCAAGTGTTCGATAACATCAGTTGAAGAAACGAGTGCCCTCACCCCCAATGCAATCATTCATTCACTGTGCATCCCACAGATGGAGGGAGATAGTGGGGAGATCCCACCCTGAGGAACCGGCAGTCAACCTGAGAAGATGGGATCTGACCACAACAAACACCCCAGCCCACTCTGGTTCACTCACAAATCCCCCTTCTACACCCCAAGTCCAATCAGACACGCCACGTCGAAGAGCCTGAAATCACTGTGGACCCTCAGCCTCTGTTCTGGAGACAAACCCCCACCTCGACAGCAGGCAGGCAAGAAGAGTCATTAAAAACAGCCACTTAGAGCCCTGGTCGGTGGTTCAGTGGTTAGAGCATCAGCCCACACACCAAAAGGTTGCGGGTTTGATTCCTGATCAAGGGCACATACCTAGGTTACAGGTTCGATTCCTAGCCCTGGTCGAGCGAGTTCAGAAGCAACCAATTGATGTGTCTCTCCCATGGCATGTTTCTCTCTCTCTCTCTCTGCCTCCCTCCCTCCTTTCACTCTCTCTATAAAATCAATGGATCCTTGGGTGAGGATTAACAAAAAATAAAGAAGCAGGCTTTTAGAGTTCCAGATATGTCTGGGTTTGGGTCCTGAGACACCACTCATGAGCTGGATCACTTATCCTCTATAAAATGGGAGGATAACATCCCTGCCCTTTTGGGTTGACGTGAGGCTATATGTTAGCTGTGATCATCATCCTGTGACTTTCTTGTTATGACCTGGACCCTCTTGTCATCCTGTCACCTTCCTCACTTCCTCCGAGGCTCTCAGAGTGGGGTGTATAGGGGCTTCTGACCTCGAGGCTGCAATGTCCTCACAGGACAATGCAGTAAACGTTTGCTCAGAATTTCCACCCATGCTGACCACAAAGACCATCATGGTACTCAAGGCCTGGACCATGTCGCCAGCGCCCTCCCCTTCCTGTGGCCAGGACCCTCCAAAGCCTCTGAAGTTGCCTCTCCCGGGAGCCCCATTCCCCAGACGTGGGGGGCTAGCCCCTGCCTGAAAACGGACCATGCTTACCTTGTGCCCGTCCTTCTGGAGTTTCTGGAGGACCTGCCTGAAGCCCGAGAGGCTGGGCTGTCCCATGCCAAACACGGGGAGCCCGCCCCGCACTTGCCGGAAGTTGGGGGCCCCACAGCTCCGCAGGGTGCCCAGCTGGTCCATCTTCTCAGCAACATCCCGCACCAGGAAGTAGCGTCCCTGGCAGTGGAAGAGCCAGAGGGGGACACTGAGGTGACTCAGGGCATCTGTCCCAGGCCCCGGGGGGTGGGGGGGGCGATCAAGGAGATAGGGAGGGGACACAGAACACGGTCCTCAAGTTGTCTGCAGGCTCACAGGAAAAAACAGACGAAACACGTGACCATCTGTGATCCGGGAAGGGGGTCATGGAGTAAGGGGAAAGAAAACACAGCTCCTCTTGAGTGGGAATCTGAAAAGGTTTCGTGCAGGTGTTGGCATCAGAGCCGGCCTTGAGGGAGGAGAGCATGAAGAGGCACTACAGGAGCAGGAAACTACAAGGGGCTCTGGGGTGGACCCACAGCTCCCTGAGAAGCGGAGGAGGGTCTGGAGAAGAGGCCGGAGGAGGGAGTCACAGGAGGCCGCAGGAATCCACGAGAGGAAGGCTGTCCTGTCCTGGCCCTCTCCTTGGGCCCTGCAGTTCTGAAGGAGGGCAGGTCTCTCCCTTCTCCAGCTGGAGTGAATGAATGCATGACTATAGAGAAAAGAAGGAAAGGGAACTGGACATCGGGGAGAACAGGGGGGACTAGAAGAGTCCATTCCTGAGGTCACCACACCTGCACTGATAGGTAAGACCAGTTCTTCCAAATGCCAGAAATCCTCAGCTACTCTCTCAGTCACCGTTGGCATGATTTTTCATTCTGTCCTTCATTCGTTGACCCTTTCCTGAGGACCTACACTGTTCTGAGGCTGGGGCTACAACAGTGAACAAGGTATATGAAAAGTCATCTGTCCTTGTGACTTTACTTTCTAGAGGATATTTAGGGCAAACACACACACACACACACACACACACACACACACACACACAAAAATCACAACAACAACAACTAAGCCAGAGAAGTTCGGAAACTTCGAAAGAGAAGGGAAGGGAGATGCCCACCCTAGGGCAGTGGTCAGCAAACTGCGGCTCGTGAGCCACATGCGGCTCTTTGGCCCCTTGAGTGTGGCTCTTCCACGTACAGGCGCGCATGAACAGTGCGATTGAAACTTCGTGACCCATGCACAGAAGTCGGTTTTCGGCCTGGGGGAATCTATTTTGAAGAAGTGGTTCTAACACCAAGCCACACTCAAGGGACCAAAGAGCTGCATGTAGTTTGTGGAGCCGTGGTTTGCTGACCACTGCCCTAGGGGAAGCAGTCCTGGGCCTAGGGACCTTTTGTCCTCATCTACAGTCTCCCTGATGCTCCAATGGAGGGGTGTGGGCATGCTGGGGCCAGGCAGGGGATGAATGGAGAGAGAAGAGCAGGAACTCCACAGGGTGGGACAAATGGGCCCCAGAAAAAAAAGTCAGAGGAAGTGGGAATGGGATCCTGGAAGGTGGAATGGGGCAATGAAACAGAAGGGGACAGTGGGGAGGCAGAAGGGATTAGGGAGAGAACCTAAAGAAGGACAGGAGGGGCGGAGAGAAGCTGGAAGAGGGAGGAAAGAGTAGGACCTGACCTCACCTGCACCAGGTAGTGCTCAGGGGTAGCATCCGAGAGCCGGCCCAGCGTGTAATGGGCCTTGAGCAACTCATCATGGATCTGGAACTCCTCCTTGCAGTTGTACCTGCCAGGGTTACAGATGGAGACCAAGTCAGGCAACCTCCGCAGCCAAAATCCACCCCATCCTCATCTGACCCCACAGCAGGCCCACCCCACTCCCACTGAAGTGGTTACCCATTTGTGGCAGAGACAGCCCACTGTACCACAATATCCACTCTCCCTTTTGTGAGCAATTACAGCAACCCTGGAATGGGAAAGGGCCATCCATGTGAAGACTACATTTCCCAGCCTCCCTTGCAGATGGTGTACTCATGTGATTGTGTTCTGTCCAATGGGATGTGAGAAGTGATTTGTGCAACTTCTGGGTCATTCCCTTTAAGGGAAGGTGTGAGCCTTCTACATTTCTCTCCTCCTCCTGGCTAGCATCCAGGAGTGGTAGCAGAAAGCAGATATTGATGATGGCAGGCCAAGAAGAGAGGAGGAGCCTGGCTGATCATGCAACCTGGGGCATCTCTTGGACTCTTGAGTGAGGGAAGCTTCTGTCTTAAATAAGCCTTCTATTTTGGAGTTACTTTGGTCATGGATGGTCCCCTCCATTAAACTGTCTCTGGGAACAACCTCCACACTGTGATCCCACAGCACTGTGAGGTGGTTCAGGACACAGGTTTGGGCCATGAATCCACCTCCACCGCTTTGGAGTCACCAACTCTCTGTAGCTACATTTCCAGTGATTCCCACCTCATGGGGCTGCTGTGAGAAATCAATTCATTAAACAATGTAAGTGCTTAGCCCAGTGCCTTGGGCTCAGTCAGCACTTATTAATAAAATTATTACTAGTGGTGGTTCTACCTCCACGCCGGGCCACTTCAAACAAAACCCAAGACGCAAAAAGCTGGTGTGCTGATTCTAACAAGAAAGAAGACAAGCCTCCCAAAGCGAGTGATCTGGTGTCCGATTCTCTTTACAAAAGAAATGCCTCTCGGAAAGGCAGGGTGGTGGCATACGTAGGAGGGAGCACCAGGAGAGGGCGCAAGAGACGTGGTTCCTGCTGCTCGCTCTGCCTCCATCGCACCGCAGAGCCCATGGTGGGCAAATCTCTCTACCCCCTCGATATTCAGTTTCTGAGTCCGTTTTCACATCTGATCTAAAGGGTGTTATTAGGTCAGGAGTCAGCAAACCTTTTATGTCAAGGACCAGATAGTAAATACTGTAGACTTTGTGGGCCATACAAAGTCTCACAGCTATCACCCCTGCAGCTAACATGTCAAGCATCCACAGATAATATGCAAATGAACGAGAATGGCAGTGCTTCAATAAAACTTTATTGACAACGATAGGCCCTGGGCTAGATTTAGCCCGAAAGATACAGTGTTGGATGACCTCTAAGGTCCCTTTCCCCTCAAACACTGTCAATCGGAGTACAGGGATCATGCCTGTGTCAGGATGCACACACAGATTTTTATAGCAGGTTAAATATTATGTCATCCCCACATATCCTGATAAGAAAACAGAGGCCCAAGGTCGCGGAGCAAGTCTGGACAAGTCTCCAGCACTGCCCTCAGGGCCCAGACCCAGTTTTGTCTTCTCCAGTGGGGAGGCTATAGATCAAGTCCCTCTTATGTAACATCTCCTTTCCTCCCCTCATCGCGGACACCGTAATTTATTATGATTACAATTCCCCGGTTAGGCCCCCAAGCCAGCAGGCCAGATGTAGCATTCCCACCCTCGGGTTTCCTTACACGGAAGGCCCATCTGCTAGGCCCCTGACAAACGGCTCTGTGCGGGATATATATCATTGCTAGATCATCCTGTCCTGCTTCCTGCGTCTGGGAGGGGCCCAGAGGCCGGGGAGCCCCGTGGGCAGATTCAATGCAAGACAAGGCTTTCCGACTCCCTAGGAGAGGGGCCCGATGCCCCTTCGGTCTGCCTGGTCTCGGGGCGCCCAGCACCCGCTCCCTCATTGTGCCCGTGGGGCAGGTAGTGTTTCAGGGCCCCTTCCTGATCCTCTTCCCCTGGGTACCCAAGTCTCCCTCAAAATATGGCAACAGAGCGAGCCCTCGGCCTCTTCCAGGAAAGTCCCTGAAGGGCCTGATGAGGACAGTGGACCAACAGCTTCCAGCTTTTCCAGCCCAAGGCCCTTTAATGGCCTGGTGTTAACCGCAGTTTCCAACCACAATTGCTGGTTGTGGCAGGGAGGAAATATCTAAGTTTGATGCATCTAAGGATATAAACTTCTTTTGAAAAATGTTCAGCCAAAAATTATTTTCAAGAGTGTCCCCCAGCCAGTCCTCCCTCTCCACACTCCCTAGCCCTGTGGGCACTGTAGGTCACATAAGCTAGAGACCCACGACAGAGACTCTGCCACCTGCTTACTGTGTGGCTCCAGGTAAACTGCTGAACCTCTCTGGGCCTCAGTGTGGTCATCTAGATATTAAGTACGATACGCCACCACCCCTCTGACAGCTCCCAGAGCCATGACTTCCAGGGAATGATGACACTCCCCCTGCCACTCACGTGATCACGACGGGGGCCACCTTGTTGGGGATGATGGACTTGGCCTTACTGTTGTGCAAGCCCGTGGACTGGAAGGAGTGGGCACTGAGGGAGTGCCGCCCGTCCATCACGCTGCTGCCCTGGAGGCCCTCGAAGGGGGCGCCGGCTGAGACCGTCTGCTGGGCGGTGCTGGCCGTTGTACCCATAGTCAGCCGGCAATCTCAGACCCAAGACCTGTGGGGGGAGAGGGTGTGTGGTCAGGGAGGAGTGGGGAGAGACAGGGCAGGAAGAGACCTAGCCCACCCTCACCTCCACCACAAGTACAGAGCACACTCTGAGGCCCAGAGAGGGCCAGCTCTCCCTGTGGCTGGAGATGGAGAGCAGGTATGCAGCCTGCCACATGCCACTGAGTGTCCGCCATGTGCCCAGCCCGCTGCTGGGGCTTTGGGGGTGGTGGACATAGAGAGATATTAAGATGAAGCCCCTGACCCATCAGACTGTACACTCCTCCGGCGAAAATAAGAGAGGAAGAGGTTCATCTCCCACACCAGGCGGGGTATGAGGGCTCTAGGTGGCTGGACCAGGCCACATGGAGGCCAGGCCTTCCAGGGTAGGGCAAGTAGGAGACCTGAGGGAGAAACAGGGGCACATGCTGAGGGAAGTCAGGCTTGGATGTAAAGGATCTGGATGGGCACAGGGTCCAAAAAGGCATTCTAGCCATGAAGGTCACAAAGCAAGACCAGCAAGACCAGATGAGGCGAGCTCTGAGTAGATCAAGGGTCCAATGAAGGCACCACACCCCTCAATTCGACATCAATATCATCAACATCAACATCATCAACCCCATCATCCACATCATCAATCCCAACCTCAATGTCACCAACATCTCCAACCTCAACCTCAGTATCACCAACCCCAACCTCAACACCATCAATCCCAACCCAACATCAACAGACAGAGCTTCTGACCCACGTGAGGCATCTGCGTGGAGAGCTCTCTCCCAGGGAAGCCCTAGGATGCATGAAACACAAGGTGGATGCATGCTCCAAGGGCAGTGTAGCTTATATAACAAAACGCTGGCAACAACCTCCGGCCAACAACAGGGGATTTGTTGAATAAATCATGGGACAACTCCAAGGTTCTATGTTAAATGGCCATTTCATATTGCCTGATATGGAAAGACGTCTCGCAGACAGGAATGGAAGGAGCAGGCTGCAAGCTCAAGCTGCAATCCTAATTTAAACCACGGAAGTGAATTTAAAAATAAATAAATAAATAAATAAATAAATAAATAAATAAAATAAACCACGGAAGTGTATCAGGAGGCAAATCTGGAAGGACACACACCAAGATGCGGGTATGAGTTATCACCAAGTGAAGAGATTACAGATGACTTTTTACTTCCTCCTTTTTGCTTTTCTGCATTTTCTTGATTGTTCTCCTCTAAACTGGGTAATAAAGTTAAAGCTTATTTAACAAATAAGAGAATGGCTGGGAATCGCCTGGGAGCCCTGTTAGGAGCTGCAAGAAGCTGTGGGGAGGATTTATTCCAGGGTCCAGACATGGGAGGCAGAACTTTCTGAGAGCTGTTGGCCCCTCGTGGCATTAATGGCCCCAGATCAGGAGAAGAAGGGACCCACCTGCCCTGCCCACCCCAACCCCACCTGCACCCTGACATGGGTCCACCCTGCAGAACACACCTCCCCTCTGCCTTCAGCTGGGCATGAGCTGCTCCAAGTCATGGGGACAATCTGCTCCAGTCACCCACACTCCCCAGCCTGCCCCAGCCACAGCCTCAGCCCTCACCACCAGCACAGCACCCAGGGAGCAGACGGAAGAGGGGCTCAGCAGCTCAGTCTGAGGCTGCACTCACTGTGCCCTCTCTCCCAGACCCTGAGTCAAAGTTCCTGGTCCCGAGGCGGATGCTCCCCAAGCCTCCCCCAGGGATGTGCTCACGCTCCCCTCCCCAGAGCCACCTACACAGAGTGACCAGCCTCATGCTGTCCCTCCCGGAACCTTTCCAAACCACCACCTGGTTCTCTCCCTCTACAGCTTGAAACGGGGTCCCTGCCCAGCCTGTCACACTTGAAAACTCCCAGCAGCTGCCTGACAGCTTTGTGAACACACACACCTGGTGTTTATATGAGCCCATCATAACTCTCCACACCCAATCCAATCTCTCTCTCTCTCTCTCTCTCTCTCTCTCTCTCTCTCTCTCTTCAAACATGGAGGGAATGAGTCTCTGTTTTTAAATAGAAACACAGGCGGCTCAGAGAGACTGAGGAGCTAGCTCCACAGGGGACCCCCAGCTGGCCAACAGCAGAGCGGAAAACCTCTCTCCAGTTCTCCCCTTTGCCTGTGGTTCACCAAACTTTCCCAGACCCCTCTCAGCAGTCTGGGCCAAGGAGCCACGGAGGGGAACAGCCTCCTCCAGGAACACAGGCGGCTGTCCCCAAGGAGGGCATGACCAACAGCAGCAACAGCTGGCTACGGCTGCCAGGCCAAGCCAGGCCCTGCTCCCATCCCTCCTCCCCCTCGCCTCCTGCCAACTCCAGCGCCGGCCACCCTCCTCTCTCACCAGCTCCACAGGCAATGACGGGTCCCAGCCAGCAGCGCCCCATGAAGGCAGCCAGGAGCCCATACAGATGTGCACAGCTGCAGTCCGCCGGGGTGGGGGAGGAACAGGATCCTTTGAAAGCTGATCTGCCTCCAAAATGTTCAGAGGAGGGTGAAACCCAGGGATCTCCAGCCTTCTGGCTCTGCAACTCTCCCTTGAAACCTCACTCGACCCCGCCCTGAGTTAGCCTGGCCAGCACAGGGGCCTCCACCCACTGGCCGAAGCCTGCAGGGCCTTAGGCAACTTCCTCCCACGCTCTGGGCCTCCGTGTCCCCGGCCATAAAGAGACAATAAGGGTGGGATGGTCAGAAAGCCCTTGCCTGTTTCAAATGGGTCTGGCTCCTAAGATGGGCAGTCCTAGTGGTCCCAACACGGCTGTCCACTCCCAGGCCAGTGGTCAGCAAGGGGAGAGTCGGGGTCCCTCGTGCTCAGACCTCTCCTGGGGGGAGGATGGGGAAGGTGGATTTGGATGAGACCAGACTAATGAGTCTCATGAGTCTGGATAGTTTTCAAACAAGTCTGCCTTTACTCTCCTAACTTCCAACGAAAAGTAAGCCTTTCCTTCAAGCACAGGAAAGCGGCCCGTCGATCTCAAATCCGGGACGTGATCACCATAAGCTCACAGGCGGTTCACACCCCGCCTCAGTGTGCAGGTGTCCGGAACGTGCTTGCACTCATCATTCCTTTCAAACGACAGTAATTATCAGGCCCGGGTCCCCTGCCCACAGACCCACCCGGGTCCCCTGCCCACAGGCCACTTGGGGTCATTGCATCGAATAGTCTTGGGCCCCCCTCAGTGGGATCTCAGGTTCCCACAGCTGACTTTAACCCAGAAAGCGTGGAGAATTCTGGTGACCCGGGAGAGACGCCTACTCACCTTACGAAGCCAGCGATAGGGAAGCTGCTGTTCCATTTGCAAAGAGGGGTTCTCAGCATTTGGGGACCATCAAAACCATCACCGTCGCCTGGGGTCCTTCCTGCTGGGCATGTGCCGGTCAATGCCATGCACCAGCTTAAAGTCCCCCTCAAAGCTGAGCAACTATAGCCTTGTCACTGGTGTGTCTTCAAAAAGCAAAATACAACCTTACTTCACTTAATGGATTATCTTATCAATGCAGTAATAACCAAGGACGTCTTACTAGCTCACCAATTTGTTTTGTAATATTTTTGGTAGCTCTCTCTCAATAAAATGTACCTCCTCCTTTATATGCCCATGTATTTTATTTTGTGCATTTCGAAATATTCTGAGAAGCCCAGCTGGCATGGCTCAGTGGTTGAGCATCAACCTATGAACCAAGAAGTCTCGGTTCAATTCCCAGCCAGAGCACATGCCAGAGCTGTGCACTCGATCCCCAGTGTGGAGCGTGCAGGAGGCAGCCGATCAATGATTCTCTCTCATCATTGATGTTTCTGTATCTCTCTCCCTCTCCCTTCCTCTCTGAAATCGATGAAAATGTATTTTAAAAAGTAATAAAATCATGCCGGGACCGGTTTGGCTCAATGGATAGAGCGTCGGCTTGGGGACTGAAGGGTCCCGGGTTCGATTCTGGTCAAGGGCATGTACCTTGGTTGCGGGCACATCCCCGGTAGGGGGTGTGCAAGAGGCAACTGATCGATGACTCTCTCTCATCGATGTTTCTAACTCTCTATCTCTCTCCCTTCCTCTCTGTATAAAATCAATAAAATATATTTTTAAATTTAAAAAAAAGTAATAAAATCAATAAATACAAATATTCTGAAAAAAAGGTCCATGAACTTCTACCAGATTGTTAGGCTCTCGGCAAAAAAAAAAAAAGAGGAGCTTCTACTTTAAGGCAAAAAATATTACCCACAAAGCACAGGCCCTCCTCCACCTTTTCCTGGCTTCTACTTATTAACATTTCAAAGCGCCTACTAAGCACCAGGAACCACCCAGGGAGCTTTCCATCCTATAATCCCCAACAGCCCCGTGAGGTTGAGGCCTCGATGTCCATTTTCAGATGACAACCACTCCTCATCAGTTTGCCTTCTTGCCTCTTCACGCTGATCCTGGCAGCAAGCGCCCCCCACACTCTCCCTTCCCCCTGGGATTGGCACAGCCCCCACTCAGGGTCCAGAGGAACCCTCACCATTCCACCCTCTGTCGGAACACCCCAGACCTAGCAAAGCAGAGAAACGCAAGGTTCCCGTGGAGGGATCGGGAACTCCAGACTCCATTTCACCCTTGTTGACCAGCAAAGAAGCCACAGTCTCCTCCAGCCTGCAGCTACAAGGCATTTAAGCAAGTCCCACCCACATCCACACTGTCCTCCTGCCTCTGGGAAAACGCAGAGCCTCAGTCCCTCGAGAAAGAAACGGCCGGATGGAATCCATGGCAGGCAGGTGACTTGTTTCCCCAAGAAGAATCATTCTCATTGAATCCTGACCAAAAAAGGAGGGGCCAACTCTTATAACTCAATAGCAAGGTAAAAAAGTACCGATAATTTTAAAATGGGCAAAGATGTGAAGGTAATATCTGAAAGATGTTCAGCCCTAGCCGGTGTGGTTCAGTGAATAGAGCTTTGGCCTACGGACTGAAAGGTTTCCAGGTTCGATTTCCCTCAAGGGCAC